CTGTAGAATTCCATCCACTGCTCCCTGGTTTCCCCCTCCATGCACTCATGTGCCTCTGGCTGCAGCTGTGATTTGGTGGGAGGTAGAGCTGTAAAACGTTGCAAACCAAGAGGAGGTGCAGTCTGTGGGCTGAGCCTGTCCTGGACCTTTCTGACTTTGTGTGCCTTGTGATGCCTTCAGCAGAATGTGAGCCTGCCAAGCAGTCAGTGCTATAAATCCCAGGCTTTTCTGCTCGTGTGTGGAGCTGCAGGGACAAGTGTTTGCCATCTCAGCTCTGGCACAGGGCTGGGGCTGTGCAGGGAGCGGCTCCTGGGGAGGCAGGGCAGGGCTGGATCTGCTCATTGGTCTCTGGGATATCTGCCCCTCTCTGCTCACAGGGGTGCTGCCAGTGTCTCCCTGGGTTGGCTGAGGTCCCCTCCCATCTGCTGGTGCTTCCCAGCCCCTTTACAGGAAGGGTGTGTTGCCCACCACAGCCTCTTGCTGATCCAGAAATAAGTGCAGCATCCACAAAAGGAGCAGTTATAAATATATAAATAAAGTGTTTGCCTGTTCCCCAAGGCTTCTCTGCCTGTAACTTCAGGGGGTCCTGTTTGGGATGGACTCAAAAAGAAAAGAGCTTTATCACTGCCTGCAAGAGACAGGCTGCTGGTAGGAGCAGGGACTGGTGGCTTGCAGGTCACATCTGGCCTGCAGGACTGGTCCTGCCAATGTCCCTGTGTGCTCTTTTTGGACATGAAGCTCACCAGCTGTGTCCTCTGATGGCTGGGGCAGGCTCAGAATGCAAGTCTTGCACTGGTTGCATGAGTGCCACAGTCTCCAAATCCATATCATGCCCTTGCTGCTGTGCACATGAGGTCACCCTGGGAAAGAGATTCCTTGAGGCCTGGAGTAAGGACAGGGACAGGATTGGTGGCCTGAGTTACCCATGTTGGGAAGGTGGGGATGCACCTTTGGAGCTGCTCCCTAGGTATTCTTTTAGGCCAGGAAGGGAATTCTTGCAGCCACAGTGGTGTCCTGGCAGGCCTGCTGGGTCTGTCTTACGGGAATTTCTTTGAGGGTTGGTGCTGTTTCCCTCCCTCTTTCCTGTGTGTCACTACCCCAGGAGGGACTCTCCTTCCCTCACAAAATGACTCTGAAGGACCTATATCTCTCCTGGGAAAACAGATAATCCCACACACAAGCATTTTAAAATATTTTTCTCAGCTCACCCTTGCCCAAGCTGCACTTGCTTTTTTCTCACCTAAAAACCTCAATGCCAGAGCAGGTGTCCTGTTGTGTTGGTTATGCCTTACAGTCTTCACATGTGCCAAGAGTGTTCTGTGCAGTGTGGAGACAGAAGAGTGAAGTGGATCCTGGTGGACCTCTGAGCACGTGGCTGTGTCATCCAGCACCCTCAATCTCCTGCCAGGGCTCTGGGGAAACTGGGGATACTGGTTTGGCTCCTGCAGCCCCATCAGGAGCGGCACCACAGAGCATGCGCCCCTGCCTCAGCCTCTTCAGCACAAAGTCCGGGCTCTTGGCTTGGAACCTCCTTTATCAGCACTTTCTGGAAGGTGCCAGGCTGTGGAGCAGGGAGCAGGATGGCTCCTTTCTGTCGACCTGGCTGCTGGGGAAGGAGGGCGTGCTGTGTCAGGGACAGTGTGCCAGAGCTGAGGGCTCTGCATTCCTGCTGGGAGCCTGGGCTGCCCTCTGAGGCTGTCCCAGCTGCTGGAGCCCCTGTCTGCATTGCACACCTGGAGCAGGCATTACAGCATTCTTGCTATAGGTACAGGTATTTCTCCAGTAATGCCAGGTCTCTGCCCAGCACTGCAGATTTATTCTCTCTTCATGTACCTTCTCTAAAATGCCATTATAAATTCCATTGGATTCAAGGAAAGGCAGAAAACCAGTTGCTGGGTGTTTGGTTTCATTTTCCCAGATCAGTTAGTAGATGTGTCTCCTTGGCTGAGTTCGGTTTAGTGGTCCTACATCAAATGTTCCTGGTGGAATGGAGGATTTATTTATCTGTGGATGTGCTGTGACTCTGGCCCTCTGCTCCTTGTGCAAGGATAAGAGGTATTTGCTCACCTGGATGCTCCTGTGAGCCTCCCACCCCAGGGCTCTGTGCCCCAGGCAAGTATGGCTGCAGGAAAGCACTCGGGTGCATCTGGGAGTGAGTGTGCAAAGCCAGGGAGGGCTCTGGCTGTGGCACAGCCACAGGAAGGGTTTGGCTGTGATAGCAGCTCTGGGGCTGCTGTGGGTGCTCCCACCTGTGCCTCATCCCCTCGGTTGCTAAGGAATAATCTCCTCATGGCTGGACAAACCATCAGGTTTGGGCTGCAGGCAGCAGATCAAAACTCAAGAGCTGCTGCTGTTCTGTTCTTGGCTGTGCCAGCATCTGCTCTGTGGCTGCAGGCAGAGCTGCTCCTTGCTTCCCTGCCCGCTGTCCCCGTGCCAGCCTCACTCCACTGAGCCCTGGCTCCTGCTGCGGCTGTTTGTCTGTCCCCTCACACAGAGAGGCCCTGTTTTTTGGGAGGTGGTCAGGCACTGCTAGTGCAACTGAAATTACTTACTGCCACCAAACACATGCAAAAGGAGGATTGTGAGACACCCAGAGGTCTGAGACATCTGTCAGCAGCTTTTAAAGGCTCGGCTGTGAACCAGGGCAGCGTCCAGTGTCCCTCAGTGCTTGTGCTGAGCTCCTGCCTGGGATGAGCAGCACTCACTTGCTCTCTACTCCCCAGGCTGATGCAGTGAGGCTTTCCTGCAGGGGGTCTTTGCAGCTGAAGACCACAAGATGTGCTGCTGGTGACCTTGGATTATGTTGTATGCATGGCCTCTGCTTGCTGTGGTCTTGGCTCAGCAAATGCTGTGTCTGGCCACGTGTCCACCAGCACAGTCACAGCTTCTCCATCTCCTACTGTGGTCTCCACCATGAATTGCTGGGGCTCCATCCGTGCTCCACAGCCTCCCCCCCTGCTGGACTGCACCCCTTTGCTTTGTGTTCTGTCTTCTGCAGTGCTCTGCAAATGCTAATTAGCCTTCTCAGCACCTCAGCGAGATAAGGGATCCCTGTTCATATCTTGCAGATAAGGAAAGCAGCAGAACTTGTTTCAAACAATCTCCTCCCTCCCCCGCAGAGATGATGGAGTCTGTGGCACCTGCCCCTGCAGGCTGTGCCCCTTGGTCCTCTTTCAGTGCTGCTTGGGAGGCCCCTCTCTTTGACTGGTTCCCAAAAAAAAGCACAGGAACATCTATGGCCTTGAGGCAGCTGCAGGAAAGGGCTGGGTGCTTTGCTGTGAGCCCTGGGGCTGTGCTGTGGTGGGAGCAGGCACCTGGCTGGGATCCTTGCAGGCTGAGAGCTGTCCCTGCTGTCCCCAGCCCCAGAGATCAGCCTGATCAGGCTGTGCCAGTCCCATCAGTGCTGTTGGAGCAGGCGGGGCTGCTCTGTGTCTGTGGGTTTGTGCTCTAGCTCCTGGTGCCTTTTCAAGCTATATTTAGTTGGTGACATCTGTGGGCGTTGAATGGAGGATTTTGGGGGCGGTTTTGAAAGTGGTGCCTCTTCCTACACCAGCAGGGAAGTTTAAAAGCCCTGTGGCAAGCTTTGTGCCATGGAGCCAGGATTCTCAATGAAGTGCACATGGAATAAATGAGGGACACGTGGGACTGCTGCTGCTCATGAAGGGAGGCACTGCAGGTGGGTTGGGGAGGTCCTCGGGGAAAAGAGGAGGGTTCAGGCACCTAGCTGAGAGCTTGGACTCTTCTAGACTTGAAATCCCCATGCAGGAGCCATAGAGAAAGGAACTGGGGAAGGGGAATGCACATGGCTCTGTCCTGCCATGTCTGACTCTGCCTTATTGACACTTCAAAGCCTCCAGCCCTGAGCAAGGCCAGGATGAATCACTGGTGTGGAGGCTCAGAAGGGGACCGGTTTTGATCATCCAGGCAAAGTTGTCCAGCCTTGCAAGGAGATCAAAGGCAGCTTTGAGCAGAGCTGAATAGGCTACTCAGGGTGTTTCCCGGGGCATCCCTTGATAGCCCGTGCTGATCCTCCCACCCTCACCCTACCCCAGCCAGGGCTGCTTTTCTTCTAAACAAAGCCAGTGAGTCAGCAGAAATCCTCTCTGCAGGAGCCTGGCACCTGGCACAGGCTGCTCTTTGGGGCAGGGCCCAGTGGGCTCTCGTGTCCCTGTGCAGCACCAGTGTCCTGGAGGAGACCCCACAAACCCTCTGGTGTGTGCTGGGCAGAGCTGTGCTGCTCTCCTGCTTGGTCTCTGTGTGAGCCTGATCAGAGACCTTGCAGCCAGAGCTGGGGGACAAAGCAAGCTGAATTCCTGTTTCTGCTTGTAAGGAGGTGGTGTGTGAGCTGGAGCCAAGATGGGCCATGGTGAGGTTGAGATCTTGACTTGCTGTGAGGTCTGTGGTGGTGTGAACCCCAGCAGTCTCACTCTGATGTGTTAAAACAGCCCAGAGGTGCTTCAGTGCCTAAGTACTTTCAGCTGTAGCAGGATTTAGGCACTGGCTCGTTCTCTCTGTACATTTCCTCCCTTGAACTTGCTGTCCCTGCTGGGATGCCTGACTTCAGACCAGGATTCAGCAGCCACAGACTTGTGCACATCTCTGTCAGAGCCCTGCTCTGCTCTCTGGGGAGCATCAGGGCACCATGATGGGAATTGGCTTTTCAAGGGCAGGTTTGTTTTGCTGTTCTGTGGGTGCTCCTTGCCCCCCTCCTCTCTGGCTGGGGAGGGCAGAGCTAAGGCAGGGGCTGCCATCCTGCAGCAGCTTGGGGTTAAAAGTCCATCTCTGGGCCGCCTGGATTCGTCAGGAGTTCTCTGATCTTAACGGGGCAGTTCTGAGACTCGAGTCAGGAGCTGGCTGTGTTTTCTGTTTACCTTTTCCTGTTAGCCCTCCTTTGCTCAAGGGGGAGCTGCTTTCCTTCCTACCCACTTCTCTCCAGAGCCAACACTCCCACTCACAGCCCTCAGCTGTGTTTTAACACTTCTGTTGTCCTTCTCTTGCAGAACTTACAACTCCAGCGAAAGTGGTGAGGGCTGCCAACCCAAGACAGAGGAAAGGAAGCAAGGTAAGGCTGTGCCTGCTCTCCTCTCACTGGCCCCTAGTTTCTGGTGCAGTTGTCTGTGCTGCATGAGCCTCTCAAGGGTCTGGAGACAGAGCTCTCCCTTCACAAGCTTGGTTGTGGAGAGGCTGGTGTGCTGGCCTTGTTCTCCATCTCCTCTTCAGCATTTTAGAGATCTTGCATGCTGCTGGTTTTCTGCCCAGCTAGGTCAGGGGAGACTTTGTCACCTTCCCTGTGACAGGGAGGCACCTGGAGGAGTTCTGGATGTGGCAAACCTCTCACCCTGCTGTGAGGACACCCCAAATTCCTTGTGGGCTCAGCCTGTGCCCAGCCCTGCAGTGTAGGCAGGGTGTGCCAGTGGTGTGTCTGCAGCTCTGTCCTTCCTTGTGCAGTCTGTTCCTCCCTGGCACACACAGAGCCAGGGAAATTGATGTCAGACAGAGCCACTCCTCTGGAGGAACCAGGGCAATTTGTTCCAGGGAATCATTGGTGATGGAGGGACAGTTTCTTCTGGGGCACAGCTGGGGACAGCGCTGTTGGTGTTGGCTCCCAGCAGCCAGTAGAGATTTATTGCAACTTGATAGGACTTTCCTTTTCCATTTGATTTTGGAGAGAGGAGGGCCCTGGGGATGGAAGGTGCTCCTCTCTGTGAAACAGGCACTGGAATTGGTTTTCCCAGGAAACTTGCCTCCTGGGCAGAGGAACATGGCACCTGCATGTAAAGATGTTGATCTCCTGAGGGATAAAAAAAATCCTTTGACTCCAGATTAATTCAGAAATAACGATCCCACAAGGGCAAGGAAGAGTTTCTGTGCCCAAATATGATTCCTTTGGTGCCTGGGCAGCTGTTTTACTTCTTTCCTCTGTCCTGCAGGTCCTCTGAAACCTGAAAGATAAAAATGATGGTAGTGAGCAGGTCATTTATTCAGCAGAGAAGTAGTTGATGTTCCCCTGTGTGGCCATGGGGTGACTGGAATGAGGAAGTTCCTTCACCTGCTTGAGTTTTCTCAGCCACTCTGAGACCATGCCCTTGCTTTGTTGGCAGCACAGGGTGGTTGTAGTTGGGCACTTGACTGGGGCTGTGCCTGGCTGTGGCTGCCACTAGCTGCAAGAGCTTCTTCAGTGGAATGTACTTGCATCAGGTGTATTTACAATGCTGTAAGCTGGGTGCTTTCCCTGTGCAAGGGATGGTGCCTGTAATTGAGTGAATTACCCTGGGCAGCTTGCTGCTAAATGTTGCTGCTGCTGGGGCAGAATATTGGGTGAGAGGCTGGGAACTTGCAGGAGTGGTGGCAGCCTCATTTCAGTGTCTGTTGGACATAAACTTGTCTGCAGCTATTTGGAATTAGTTCAGTGCTCCTTGGTGGGGAGAGGGGCTGTGTATGTGCAGTGTGGGTGTCCCCCTCCAGCCTCCTGGGGACAGCTGTTTGTGGGACAGGGTGGCTGGAAAGCATTCTTCCCTGCTGCAGGGAACACCTGCAGCTTTGTGCACTAACAGGACCTTTCTCTTTGCTACCAGGTTGGTGACTTTGGTGATGCCACAAATTGGCCAACACCTGGAGAAATAGCCCACAAGAGTGTGCAGGTGAGAACACAGAACCACTGTGGTGGGCAGGATGAGGCCCTTGCAGACCTCCCTGTCCCTTTGGCAGCACTGGCTGAGCCAGGCCATTTGGGGTGCTGAGTGTCAGTGCAGAGGCAGCCAGGAATAGTGTGCAGGGAATTTCCTTTTAGGGCTGCCTCCCTCCCTCAGTGCTATTCTGGGAACCTGGAGCCCATTCTGAACCCTGGGCTGGCTGGAGCAGGTAGGCCAGCTCCCAGACCTGCTCTGTGCAGGAGGAGACTGGGCCAATGTTAGGAAGAACTGAAAATGCATGAAAGGGTTTGGTGTGCTGAAGGGGCTCAGCCTTTCCTCCCTGCTGAGGACATGGGTGTCATTGAAACCTTTCTATTTTTGGGTGCTGCTCTGCTAGCTCCTGCCTGTGTGTCAGGGCAAGGTGGTCAGTCACCCTTTTGTCACTGGGGCAGTCTGGTCCTTCACAGGACAGACTCATCCATGAGCACAGGGTCCCCCTGTCAGCCCATCTTGGTGTCTCAAAGAGCCCTTGCCCTGCTCAGCCATGAGCCCTTCCCCAGGAGCAGGACAGCTCTGGGAGGTACAGGGATGCACCCAACCTAGGGCAAAGTCTTCTTGTTCCTGCTGGGACAGCTGGGGGCTCCCTCCAGCTCCTCACTACCCCCACCTCATATTTTCCTGCCGTGCTGTGTCCCCAGCAGCCACACAAACCACCATCCCTTCGGAAACTGCCTGTCAAGAAAGACATGAAAGAGCAGGAAAAGGGAGATGGGAGCGATGGCAAAGAGAGCCTGAAAACCAAATCTGATGAGTCTGGGGAGGAGAAGAATGGTGATGATGACAACCAGAAGTCAGCCCAGAAGAAGAAAGGTAAGGCAGGAGCTGGTGGGGAGAGTCCCCCAGACTCAGCTTCTCTTCCCCTTCCCAGCCCTCAGGCAGGTGGAAGCCTCCTCTGCCTTCTCTGGAGTCCTTGCTGCAGGACATGATCCCAGTGCAGGAACAGCTGTGGGAAAAGGTGTTTGCAGGCTTCAGGTGTCATTTTGGTGGGAGCAGGGCCCAAGCAGTGGCAGGGCAGGAGCCTGCCTTCCCAGGTGCTCCATGGTGGCACAGAACAGCCCCTCACTGTGGGTTCCATCAGCTGTGGTTGGCACATGGGCTCAGTCTGGCCTGAGCCTGGACAGGCAGAAAGGGGCAGAGGAAGGACAAATGCTGTGACAATTGCCACAGGCAAGTTCTGACTCATGTCCCTCTGTGTCTCAGAGTCCCCATCAGAGCTGTTCTGCATCCAGTGAGGCCTGGAGGGGTGTCAGAGGACAGGGTCTGTCCAAAAGGCCCTGCTGCTCTCTCCCCTCCATGTGTGGGGGCTGCAGGGGAGGAAGCAGCCGCACTCTGAACCTGTGTCACACCCAAACCCTGTCCTTTTGCAGGCAACAAACACAAGTGGGTCCCTCTGCAGATAGACATGAAGTCAGAGGTGCCCAGGGACAAAACAGCCTCTCGGAACAACCGGCAGAACGAGCAGCACAGGCACCCCTCCAACAACCGCAGCGAGCTCAAAGGTGGGGCTGGGGACCCTCCTGGCCTGGCCACGGGGCACAACTGTCCTGCATTCAGAGGGGAGGTGCTGTCATGCCCTGACTCCCCTCCTGCCTCTCCCCCTGCTGCAGGCTGGCACCCTGACAACAAGCACGAGCGCAGCTGGCAGGACCACGACGAGACCTCCAGTGTGAAGAGCGAGGGAGGCGCCGTGCGAGGAACCTTCCGGGGCCGGGGCCGCGGCCGGGGCAGGGGCAGGGGCCGTGGCAGAGGAGGTGAGCACTGTGTGTGTGTGTGCTCTGTGACTGCAGGGAGAGTGACATGGAGCTCTGTGTCTGTGTGCCTCAGAGATCTGGGGCTCTAAAGTGGGCTGGGGAGGGCTGAGCACTCCAGGGACGCAGGGCAATATTGTAGCAGGTCATTGCAGCTGGTAAGTTGAGCTGCTGTTAACAAAGCAAATATTTCATACTAGTATTTTTATAAAAGCAGATGTCTTCCTGCTACTCAGGCTAAGCTCTTTTTCATGTTTTCTGCCCCTTGCAATACCTCTGTGAGCAGGAATTGAAGCATGTTGATAGTCTGTGAAGGCTTTATGCCATTTGACAGCCAAGCAGGAGTCATGGCTTGGGTGAGAAGGAGTATCTGTCCTGACATATGACTGGGCAGTGTCTGTGCTAACACTGATGCAGCTTCAGTGTAGGGCCTTTATGTGTCAGCTGGGTAAGAGGGTTCCTGCCCCCTTCTGTGGCAGAGAGCAGGAGGAGGATGAGGGATGTGGGTGCTCCACTGTGGGCTTCCAGGGTGTCCTCAGGAAGAGGGAAGTGTTTGTGTAGGAGTCCACCCCCATCTGGCAGGGCAGACGCCAGGGCCTCTGTGCTGACCCTGGTGTCCCCCAGGGCACTTTGACTACCAGTATGGGTACCGGAAATTCGAGGGCTCGGACGGCTCCCGCACGCAGAAGTACGCCAGCAACATCACCTACTACTTCGACAACATCAGCAGTGCTGAGCTCTACAGCGTGGACCAGGAGCTGCTCAAGGACTACATCAAGAGGCAGATGTGAGCACCACCTCCTGTCCTTGTTGGGTGGTGGGAACTGTGCAGCCAATCCCATGGGAAGGGTCAGAGCTGAGGTGTTGACCCTGCTGAGGTGTTGACATCTGGGCTCCCCAGGCTTGCTCCCCTCAGTGTGTGTGGGTTATTTCCTTGGGGGTGCCCAGAGAATGGTGGTTTGGGGCTTCCTCTCACTGACATGGTGTCCATGCAGAGAATATTACTTCAGTGTGGACAACCTGGAGCGGGATTTCTTCCTGCGGCGCAAGATGGACTCGGAGGGGTTCCTGCCCATCACGCTGATCGCCAGCTTCCACCGTGTGCAGGCACTCACCACTGACATCAGCCTCATCATCAAGGTGAGGGCAAGCAAAGGTCACCTTTCCTCCTTGTTCTGCTTCTCACCACCCCTGTGTAATGCCTGTTCACTGTGGATGAGGTGCAGGTGCAGCCTTCTCTTGTTCTTGTTCCTGCCTCCTGTTAGTCCTCCAGGGAGGAATGGCTTGGGCTGACCCCCTCAATATGCCAAAGCAAGGCCCCAAGTTAACCAAATATTGCTTGGTTCCAGGCTCTGAAGGACAGCAAGGTGGTGGAAATCGTGGATGAGAAGATCAGGAGAAAAGAGCAGCCAGAGAAATGGGCTCTGCCTGGCCCTCCTATGGCAGACTACACACAGACAGACTTCTCACAGTTCATCAATTGCCCTGAGTTTGTGCCCCGACAGAGCTTCCAGAAGGAGACTGGTGAGCACTGGGGGAATGGGGAGGGAGGAGTGGGGTGCAGTGCTGGGACTGCACCATGACTGAGACCCTGAGAGTCAGGAGTGTTCCCAGGGCAGGACTCTGCCATTGCCTTTCTGCTTGGTGGTGGGAGCTGGTGTGGGCTCTGTCCTTGGATTCCCAGAATGCTGCTGCCTCCAGGTGTAGGGTAATGTGAGAGACTGAGTGTGGTTTGTCCTCTGTTTGGGCTGAAGGGATTCAGAGAGAGTCAGTCCTGCTGAAAGTCTCTTTGCTTGCCTGGAAATAGTCTACAGCTGCTGGGCAGAACAGAGGACACTTGTGAATCCAGCCTTTGTTGGTTGAGGAGATACTGGGCACAAATTGGGCAGCAGGTGTGGAGCTGTCACCCAAGTGCTGCAGAAGGGTCTTCTGTCCTTCATGGGCTTCCCAGGCTCTTGTCACCTCATCCCACAGGGGCTGGCAGGAGCCCAGGGCTGGGCCTGAGAGCCCACGTGAAGGATCTTGGTGCTGCCATAAGAGTTTTGACAGAAGATCTGGCTCCAGACTCTCTCTGGAAGGTTTCCCAGAGAGCAGCAGAGCACCTGCTTTAGGGCTTTGTATGTCTGAGAAACTGTCACCTGCAAAGCTCTGTGGCCACTCTGGCATCATAGCTTTAACTGGAGATTCCCACTCTAGCACTTTTGGGCACTGTGTGCCATTTAGTCCTGCAGGCTGTGCCATGCTGCCAGAATGGTTGGGTAATTTGTAACTACCCCCCCTGGATTCCCTCCCTCCCTCTAAAGTGGTTTGTGGCTCTTGTTGGCTCCAGAGTCTGCTCCAGGCTCCCCACGTCCTGCCAGCCCAGTCCCCACCAAAACAGAGGAAGTCAGCAACCTGAAGACAATGCCCAAGGGCCTGTCCACAAGCCTGCCAGACCTGGATTCAGAGACATGGATTGAAGTGAAGAAGAGACCCCGACCTTCCCCAGCCAGGCCCAAGGTAAGAGATGTGGGAGCTGTTGGATTGGGAGTCTCCCAGTTTTACTGGGGTGACTTGGATCATACATGGGCAGGCTTCAGTGAAGTAGGGTCTGTTGGGAGTGATGTCCCAGTCTCTCCTGTGTCCATCTGAGCCCCTTTGGAGCTGCTCCTCAGTGGTGTAAATGAATGTTCTCCCCACATGGGCTGGGATAAAGAAACAAGGGGCAAGAGCTGGATCTTGTGTCACCGTGGGGTCTTTACCCTGTGTCACCCTCACCCCTGACCTGCAGAAACCAGAGGAGTCAAAGACACCACAGCAGCAGAAGCAAAAGGACCAAGATGAGCCTGAGGAGCTCGACTTCCTCTTTGATGAGGAGATGGAGCAGATGGACGGGCGCAAGAACACCTTCACCGACTGGTCAGACGAGGACTCGGACTACGAGATCGACGACCGCGACGTGAACAAGATCCTCATCGTGACCCAGACCCCCCCGTACCTGCGCCGCCACCCCGGCGGGGACAGGACTGGCAACCACACCTCCAGGGCTAAAATGAGCTCAGAGCTGGCCAAGGTCATCAATGATGGGCTCTACTACTACGAGCAGGACCTGTGGACGGAGCAGTTTGAGCCAGAGTATTCGCAGATCAAGGTGAGAGTGCTGGGCTGAGGGTGGGGGGGATCTGTGTGGCCTGTGGGGAGCCTCGTGTGCAGCAGTGTGGAAAGGGCAGTGCAGTGGGGTACAGCCTGTTCATGGGGTACAGCTAAACTGGGATTAGTCCTCCTGCAGTGTTTGGGATTCTTGGCTCCCAGCATCATGTTTGGCCATTCCAGGGATAAACACAGAGCTGTAAGCAGACATGAGGCTACAGCCAGGTAAACAAAGTGCCAGTAGTGAGGTGACCTGGAACGTGGGGCCCATTGTTCTGCTGTCTGCCAGGATCTCAGCTGGCAGAGCCAGGTCTGTGAGGGGAACTGGCTGTGTCTGCACTGCCCTTAGTGCCCTGTGCTTTGGGCACAGCCTGTTGGAGACTACGTGTGTTGGGGACAGATTCATAGGTGGCTGGGCTGCACTTGGCCTGTGCTCTTCTCCATTTTGGTATCAGTTTGCATAGACATGGGCTTTTTATAGAAAGCCCATCTGCTGTTTTGAAACGTTGGGGTCCCAACTTGGTGACTCTCACTTCCAGGGACTTGCCCAGACTCATTCAGTGACAGAAATCATGGCTGTGAGATGGGATGACTTATTAGAGCTGCCAGCTGGGCTCAGTGCTTCCAAGTTTGATACCTGGCCCATTGCTGAAGCAGTGCTGCTCTCTGAGGTGACAGGGACAGTGTGTGTTGGGGTGTTTGTCCTTCAGATCCATGGCACAGCTGCCAGTTTGGCTGTGAGGATGTGGGGAGGGGTGCTCTAGGGACACAGGAGGGTGGCAGGGGATCCTGGCCAAAAATGGTCACTGAGCTCATGTTGAGCTTTACTGCACTGGCTCTGACCTGGCTGGTAAAAGCCTGAGAGAAGCAGGTGCTGGTTAGTGAACCTAACTGGGATCCCTGAAAGCTTGGCAGCATCAGTGGCTCAGATGTGGCCTGTGCAGTGCCAGTTTTCTGTCTGCTGCCTCTCCCCTTCCTGCCCCTGTGCCACCAGTGCCCTCTGGGCACCGAGGCCCTGTGACTGCCCTTGGGGCCCAGTGTTGTGACTGTTGCTCAAGCAGAGCCATGGTTGTGAGTAGTTTCTTCACCATGTTCTTCCTCCAATGCAGCAAGAGGTGGAGAACTTCAAGAAGGTGAATATGATCAGCAGGGAGCAGTTTGACACCCTGACCCCAGAGCCCCCCGTGGACCCAAACCAGGAAGTCCCTCCTGGTCCCCCCAGGTTCCAGCAAGGTAAGAGATGGGGCATGAATGGATGGATGGGACCAAATTTGTGCAGGCTTCTCATGCTGAGAGGCTCTTGGAGCCTGGGTAGCAGCTGGGGAGAAGGAACTGAGGTCACAGGTGTAGTGGATTATCTAGTTCACAGAATATTGAGTTGCATCATTCCTAGATTAATGCTCCCAGCTGAATGCTCTGGAAGAGGAGCCCAAAGGCAAGGGTGTCCCAGTGGAGTAAGGAAAATCTGGCAGGCTCAGATGTAGTTCCTGAGATTTGGCTTTCCTCTTGGACCCTCTCTGAGTACTTGAAGGCAGCTGCCTGCTGGACCTTGTTTGCCTGTGTGACACCAGGGCTGTGTCCTTGGGGACAGGGATTTGTTGCTGCTGTTAACCATTAGGAAACAGATACCTTGTGGGGAGCTCTTTACATCTGCTGCTTGGATTTTGGCTTTGTGGCCAAACTGGATTTCAGGCTGCCTGTGTGGGGGAGCTGGGACGTGTCCCTGCACTCCTGCCCCTGCTGCTTCCATCTGCTGGCTGGCAGTGCCTCAGTGCCCAGGATGTCTGACGCAGGGTGGGGTCTCTCCCTGCAGTACCTACAGACGCTTTGGCCAACAAGCTCTTCGGAGTCCCTGAGCCTTCCACCATCGCCCGCTCTCTGCCCACCACCGTCCCAGAATCGCCCAACTACCGCAACGCCCGCACGCCGCGCACCCCGCGCACGCCGCAGCTCAAGGACCCCACGCAGACGCCCCGCTTCTACCCCGTGGTGAAGGAGGGCAGGACGATAGATGCCAAGGTGGGACCAGGCTGGGCTGGGGGGGCAGGAGCTGGGGCTCCCAGCTGGGGCCTGAGGAGGAGGGGAGCACGTGTGTGATGCTCCGTGTCTTGCAGACTCCGCGGAAGAGGAAGACGAGGCACAGTTCAAACCCTCCCATGGAGTGCCACGTGGGCTGGGTTATGGACTCCAGGGAGCACAGGCCCAGGACTGCTTCCATCAGGTACCAGGGACAGGCTGCAGGATCGTGGAGGAGGCAGAAATGGGGAAGGGAGGGAGCGTGGGAAGGAAGGGGAAAGCAGCATCCAGGGATCCAAACCTGCCCTTCATGGAAAGACTTGGGGGAAATCTGTGGCCTTGGAGAATTGCAATGAGACTTGATTAGAAACTTTGTACACTTCCTGGTACACTGCTTCATGGCTCATGCCCCAAGCCCAGGATAGTGACAAGGTGTGGGTGGGACCGACAGACAGGTGGGGTGGAGTGTGAGCCCCCTCTCCTGGGTGATGCCAAGGAAGGGTGCTGACAGCAGTCTCTACCTCAGCTCCAGCCCCTCGGAGGGGACCCCGGCTGTGGGGAGCTATGGCTGCACCCCGCAGTCTCTGCCCAAGTTCCAGCATCCCTCCCACGAGCTGCTCAAGGAGAACGGCTTCACACAACACGTCTACCACAAGTACCGGCGGCGCTGCCTTAACGGTAGGGACCCTGCACTGAGGGGAGGGACAGGGTGTCTGTGCCCTGCTGGGGACAGGAACATGGCAGGGAGGGACACAGAGTCCTACAGGACAGCCCTGCTGGCAGCTGCTGTGTCCCCAAGGTTTATGGCGAGCATGGGCTCTGCTCATGGTGTCCAGTGCTGGGGCTGGGTTGCTGTCATCATAGTGCCACAGGGCCCTCCTGCACACGAGCCCCTGATTCCCTGGGGGAGGATTGGCTTTGTAATCATCCCCTCCTCCCCAAACAGAGCGGAAACGACTGGGCATTGGTCAGTCCCAGGAGATGAACACGCTTTTCCGGTTCTGGTCCTTCTTCCTCCGAGATCACTTCAACAAGAAAATGTATGAGGAGTTCAAGCAACTGGCTGTGGAGGATGGGAAGGAGGGATACAGGTAAGAGAGGAGGGATAGAGGGGTCTTTTCCAAGGGTTTGGCCTTCTACAGGGCAAATTAAGGCAGTGCCTCTGACTTGCTTGAAGGTGGGTCTGGGGTTGTTCTCAGTCTCGTGCTGCTGCTGCCCTGTGTTGTGTGCAGAGTGTCTGAGCTGCACGTGCTGCTCCCTTCCCAGGTACGGTCTGGAGTGCCTTTTCAGATACTACAGCTACGGGCTGGAGAAGAAATTCCGGCCAGACATATTTAAGGACTTCCAAGAAGAGACCATCAAGGATTATGAAGCTGGTAGGTGCCTCCTTTGGCTTCCCTGGGATTGGCAGTGATGTCGCTCAGCTGTGTGGTCCTCCTGAGCCTCTTCTCATCACTTTGGGGAAGCCACATAGCGCTGTGGACTGGTCCTGTTGCTCATTTCCCAGGAGAGGGTTGAGTTCATCGTTATGAAGATTGCTGGGGCTTGGAGGAGGGCAGTGGGAGGCTGCAGCTCTGCCCGAGCATTCCTGTACAGGCACCATTTCCTGTGGGATTTCTCAAAGCCCTGCAGTGGCTGAGCCTGGGGACATCCCAAGGTGGGGCTCCCAGGGCTGATGTAGGTTGCTTCCCTCCAGGTGTTCCATCTTGCCTAGGCTGTGCCCACCAGCAGGACAGTAGGGTTTGTGGGGAAGCCTGCAGGAAAGGTGTCTTGTTTGGTTTTTGTCCTGCTTCACATCTGGATTGGGTTTTTTTTTCTTCCCTTCAGGGCAGCTCTATGGGCTGGAAAAGTTCTGGGCCTTCTTAAAATATTCCAAAGCCAAAAATCTGGACATTAACAGCAAACTGCAAGAATACCTCAGCAAGTTCAAGCGCCTCGAGGACTTCCGAGTAGATGTGAGTACACACAATTCCTACAGCACACTGAGGGCCCTGCCCTCTGAGGGTGGGGGATTTTGGGGGTCCCCAAGTGTTGGCATGAGGGGGGGCAGTGACACCTACTGTCACTCCCAGTCATTGCAGCCAGACTGGGAACACACTGCGGGATTGGAATATGGCAAACCCACTCAGTGTGGGATAAGGGAGCTGGCTAAGCCTGTCCCAGAGGAAAAGGGAGCTTGGATGGTTTGAGTAGAGCCAGCATTGTGTGGAGCTTTGGCTCCCAAACTTCTGGATTGTGCCTCTGTGTGGGAAGCAGGTGACTAAGAGCAAGTTGTCACCATTGTGGTCAGTTTGTGGAAATCAGTCACTTTTTCTGTCAAATGTGGCAGCAGGAAATTGGGACAGGGAAGCTGAGTGCTTGGGGTGAGTGTGTGTGGGCCAGGAAGAGAGGGAAGCTGCAATTGGAGGCTTGCAGGAAGGCTGTTTGCTGATCCCAGGGGAGGGATCAGGACCTGCATTTGGAGGAAGCTGTGCTGATCCTGGGGTGCTTCTCTTGCAGCCACCCATGGGGGAGGAAGGTGGACACAAGCGATACCCTACGACGTCAGGGGGAGACGGCAGGAAGCGCTACCCATCCCAGTCTTCCAGCAAAACGGTCAGCCAGTGCCCATCCAGCCAAGGCCACGCCTCACCCAGCCAGCCTGCACAAGAGGATGCCAAAAACCTGAGCCAGCAATCCCCTGCCCCATCAGCTGCAGAGTCGCAGACAGTGGGGAAGTAGAGAGGCTGCAGCTTCCTGCCAGGGTGGGGTGGGGTGGTGGGGAATGGCTCGGAGAGGGGCAGACATGAGGGGTGGGACAGGAAGGGAGCTGCAAGGTGGGTTCCCAGGAATAGGCTGCTTGGGAGAAACTTCAACGCACACGATTTTCTTCTCTTGTGGCTGGAAAGCAAAGACGATCTGCATCCAAAACACCATTTTGCTATTACTACCCTGACCAGAGCCAGACCCGCTCCCAGCAGACCCAACCTTTTTCCCTTCTCTCTCCTCTTGTGCACACACTCATGTCTTAGTGTCTCTTCAAAAAAACAAAAAATGTGTTCTGGCTGGGTTGGAAAGGGGAGATTTTTTTATTATTATATATATATATCAAGTTTTAAATTATTGCTAGAAGTTCGTCTGGATTTACCAAAACAAGTCTGCTCTGTGTGGCCCCAACGAGTCCCCTGTGTGTCCCCCTGGGATGGAGGGCGGGGCAGCCGCTCAGGAAGCTCGGAGGAGCGAGGTTTCCCCGCAGTGGGGGACCGAAGCCACAGCGTGTGCCGATGCTGCTGCTGCGGAGCCTCTGACCTCCATGACCCGGCTGGCGCCCCCGGGGCCTCTCCAACGCCGCCTCCGCCCAGGAGCATCGCCCTCCTCGTCCTCCTGCTCCCTTCTCCCCAACGTCTTCGCCTTCCCGAGGGTCTGGCTCTCCCTCTGTCCACCTCTCCCTTCTGTCACGGACAATTTGGAAGTCAACCAAAGGACTTTTGCCGAGGATAGGCTTGTTGTGACTCCTTCCTGCGAGGATGGCTGGCTGGGAGGCTGGCAGGCACCTGGACTCGAGCCTGTGTGGACGGTGCATCCGCTGCCCCAGGAATGCCCATCACTTGCAAAGACAGGACTTTGCTGAAGGAGCTTTTCTCTTCCTTTTCCCTTGGAAAAAAATGACATAAAAGAAAAAAAAAACCAACCCACAAACCCCTCTAAAACAACAACAGAAAAACTCTTAAAAAAAAAAAAGACACATCTCCCTTTGCTTTCTTCCTTGGAAATATTACTGAAGAAAAAAAAAAGAAAAAAAACAAACAAAAAAACCCCAAAAACACACAAAAAAAAGTTGCCTTATGGTGGAGCTGGAGCGGGGAGGCTTGTTGGCTTCCTGCAGCCTGGGGTGCGCTGGGCTCTTGGCTCCCCCAGGCCCAGAGACTCCTCCCGGCGTTGCTGCCGAGCTGATCTTCCCTGCGGCCTTTCCTGTGACCCCGCAGCTCGCTCGGACGCCTCCCCTGCCTTGGAGCCTCCCTGCCAGGCCTGAGGCTCCTGGGGCAGGGCTGAGGGCACTCACATCCAGGACTCTGCTCCGCTGTGTTGGTACCGTGGCAGCCTTTTCCCCACCACAGCAACTCTTCGGTCATGGCCTTGCTCACAGCCCCAGCCCTCCCTGGGCAGGAGGTGCCTCTGCTCCTGTCTGTGCTTCCAGCGTGGCTGGGGGTGAGCAGGGAGCTGTCCCAGCAGCTGGGGCCCTGCTCCTGGCTGTGAGCGAGGGCTGCTTCTGCTGTACCTGCCAGGGAGTGAGGCAGCCCTGGGAAAGGAAAGCTGTCCCACAGCAGCCACTGGCTCAGGGCTGCTGCTGGGACCTGTGCAGGGGTGAGCAGGGACCTGCCTGGCACAGGAGAGCTCTCAGCTGGGTTTTCTTGTGTGTTGTGTTGTGGCAGCGCCTGCGTGGAGTCTCCCACTCAGGGCACAGCCCCTGTGCATTTCCAAGGGCTGAGATGACACCGTGTAGCTCCTTACTCAGCTGAGGCATGGGGTGACTGCAGAGCTGCTGTGGCATTTACTTGATTCATCCTTTCCCAGCACCAGGTGGGCTCTGGCTCTGAGCTGGATCCTTTGAGGGGCCTGTGTCAGGTGTGAGATCTCGGAGATGTCCAGTGCTGTCTCAGGAGATGCTCCAGGGGTAGCACTGGAAAGTTGTGTTCCTGCCCAGCCAGACTTGCCTGCCTGGCTGCCACCCTGCTCCTTCTGCTGGGTCCCTACCCAGCATACCAGGCTTGGCTGTGGCTCAGGATCCATCCCCGTGAGCTCCAGAGCTGTGCTCCTGTGTGCAGTGTGGATGCAGCACTCCAAGGGTGCAGCTTGGTGTGGTGCTCTTTCTGCAGAGTCACAAGCTGGTACTGAACAGTTTTCCCAAGGGATCCAGTTGATCCAGAGCTGTCTGATAGCTGGGAGCAGTCATCCTCTCTCTGGGGCTGTCCCTGTGTGGCTGCAGGGTGGGTGGGAGCAGCCAGGAGCTGAGAGCAGGAGCAAGGGGGAAGCACGGCCAGGCTGTCCATCAGCAGTGGCTGTGGGTGCTTGTGGGGCCCTGGCTGAGGCCATCCCTTCCCAAACTGGCCCTGCCTCCAGCATCCTGCCTGTGGGGGCAGCTGGGCTGGTCTGACTGGAGTGAACTGCTGCTAGGATTGAAAGCACAGCTGGGTTTGAGCAGCTGGGGAGCTGCTCCTTGGCTGTTCCCTGGTGCTGTGACCCTGCCCTGCTCCGTCCAGCCCTGCCATGTCACCTGCAGCTGGTACCACTCCCAGGCCTGGGTGCAGCAGGGCAGCCCATCCAAGGCCGTGGGTCTCTGTTATGGCAGCAGTGCTCTGGGGTTGTGGGCTGGGAACTGGGCAGGATGGGCAAAAGTAACACTTGTACAGTGCTGTGGCCGTGACTGTTATCTCTGCATTTCCCCTCTTGTGAGCTGGAGTCAGATCTCTGAGGTTACATTTCTAGGTGGTTTGTCCCAGATTTTTGAGGAGGAGGCTGGAGAGTCGATCAAGGACATTGTAGATGTGTTGCTGGTTGTTTGCAAGTGGAGGCAGGTCTGGATGTGCCACAGGTGATCCTTGCTGCTGTGTCTGTGCTCCTTTCATTGGCATGTGGCTCTCTTGAAGCCAATTGTCTGCATTTCAGCAACAAATTCATAGGAAATGGGGAGGGATGAGCTGCTGCTATGGAGTTGTTGCTTGTAGAGCAGACTGTGGAATTGCTTGGGTTGTAGAAGAGGTAGGACATTTCCCAGAGAATTTCCCAAAATACTGATTTTAAGTGATTTTAAATTTCTGATTCTGAGGATCTAGTCTTGGCATGGAAGTGTTTTCCCTTCCCCCTCTGCCAGGTCAGTGGTTTGTCACACTGCTGTGTGCACCCGGGGGAAGGTGGGTCACAAGAGCAATCCCAGTGGTCCCAGTGCCCGTGTGCCTTGTTTTGCTGCCATGGCACAGGGCAGGACAGAGCAGAGATGGATGTGACAGCCCAGGGCAGCTGCTGCTGGCTCAGCCCCGTGCTCCTGCAGGGAAGGGAGCACAGACCTGTTCCCTCCTGCTCCGTGCCAGCGTGGGGGCTGGCAGAGGGCAGGCAGCTCCCTGGGTGCCTGGTCTGTGCCCAGATGGGTCACAATGGCCACAGCCAGGCTCATGTCCCCACTGGGTAAAGGGACAGCTGTCCAGAGGGGCTTTGCATTTGAGGGAGCTCTTGCCCTTCTGCAGAGGAGGGAGTTGGGCCTTGCTTTTAGTTTGAATGCCTCACTCCACCACGTGTTGTGCTTTCTTGAATTTTAGAGGACTGAGAGGTTGCACACGGGCTCCCGTGAGTGCTGATTGTCCCTCAGCTCATGAGAGCTCCGTGGTGCTGGTGTCCAGAGCCTGGGGGGAGCCCCAGTTGCTTCTGGAAAGGCTGAGGGAGGCTGAGTCAGGGGAGCCTTCTTCATCCTGCCCCTCCTCTCAGGAGTTCCTCCTTGCTGAGGTCACCTTGTCTGAATGCAGGTGGCTGCAGCAGGTACAGAGCTGTGGTGTGGGGTCAGAGTGGAGGTGGAAGGTGTGTTTCTGAGGAGGCTTTGTTGCTTTGCCATGCTCATTTGGGAAAAAAATTAAAAAGTAATGATGCTGCTGCTCTGGTTTTGCCTGTCCATCTCTTCTGCTGCCCCCTGGCACCTCTGATGGCACCTTGTCACTGTAGCCCGTGGGGTCCCTGAGTTTTGGCACCTGCTGGGGACTGATTGTTGTACTGTAACAAACTGATGAGTTTAACCTCAGTGTCCTGCCACGTTCCACGTGGCAGTGCAGAGGGGGCCTTCTAGCTGTTAATGCCTTCCCAGTTATTTTATCAAAAGGAAAAAAAAAAAAAAAAAGGAAAACTGTAAATGTAGCAAGCTGTGTTTGCGATGCTTATTGTCTCCTGTCTCTGAGGCTGGTTTATGTCACTTGTCACTGTTTGAAATGGATGCTGGGCTCTTCCTGAGAGAGTTGTTACACTTGATGTTAAATGCCTCACTGACTTTTTTTAAAGATTCCAATACAGGTAACAGATAAAAGAGTTTCTTTCATTTTTCTTTTTCTAAGCAAATGTTCATCTCGGTGGTGTGGAGTGGGTGGCTGGAGGGCAGCGTTTCCAGGAGTAGTTTACAGTTTCACTTTCTGCAGACACTTGAACATAGGACCGATGTATCTGTGACAAGCACATCCCCTTGGTGGGAAGCTCCAGAGGAGCAGGGGGTGCCCTGGGGCCAGCTGGGCTCCCCCCAGCTCCCCACGCTGCCCTCCTGCTCTGTCCCCAGGTGTCAGCCCTGGGCCAGGGTGGCTTGTGCCAGTGGTGCCCCTCCTGGCAGGGATGCTGGGCACCACTTGGTCCCTCAAGCCTCCCTGGTGCAGCCCTGCTCCCTGTCTTCCCCCCAGCCTGTCCTGGCCCCACTGGGCTTGGAAACCTTTGGATCTGTGGCTCAGAGGCACCCACTGAGCTGCACCCCAGCGAGTGCAGCCTTCTGCACTCACCTGGAGCTAAAGGGGTGATGGTTCCATGTGCTGGCCCTTCTCAAACCCTGTGTGTCCAACCTCAGCCTTCTGTTTCCCAAAACTAGAGAGTGTGTGCAACCTTCTTCAGCTGCATTTATAGTAGAGACAAACTTAAAATGACTCATCACAGACCATGTATCACCTGGGAGGAAAATCTTGTTACTACGGCCTGCTGTACATGATCCATCTCTGTCGATAGTACATAATCTTTGACCCATGTGCTAGGATCATCATCACGTATAAAAGGAACAGAGAAAAATGTAAAATACTTGAATGAGAGCTTGTATTATAACATTAATATTATTCAGAGTATCTGCTTTCTAGGCTGATGTGATTCATTATTCTAGTAATGCTTTAGTCCTTTGTAATTTGTGGTAATTATGCTTTTTCCTTTTTAATACAAAAAAAATGTATAAAAATAAAAAGTTCAAAAGACAGTGGTGCCTGGGTTTTCTGTTCTGCTGACTTGCCCTCCCTAGGGAACTGTGGCCAGGTAACTGGGCTGGTTCATCCTGGTGCAGTTGTGGGGACTGGAGAGGAGCAGGGGAAGAGGCTTTGGGACAATGGGCTGACCAGTGGGAACCCTGAGCCACGTGGCCCAGAACACAGCTGCCTCATGCACAGGCAGATGGAACTAGGGGACAGTGCAAGTAACAAATAAACAATTAAATTTTACAAATAGATTTCTAGAGCAGGTTTTTTTATGTGTCTTATATAGAAAACAATGTCAGCAAAAGTGCAGTTGTTTCCAAGCAGCATATTTAACTTCAGCTTCATCATCTGTTATGTGTGGACAAGAATTTGTTTCCTGATTGAAATACTATTTGGCATAAATCATTGTCTCTCGCTGCTCATCACCAGGCTGGCCAAGAGCTGCTGGGCTGGTTCACTCCTCTTTCCTGGGTGGCTCTGGGATGCTTTCAGAGAGTGGTGTGAGGCTGAGCAGGACCTTGTGTCTCTCAAAGGCTTTGCTCTGTCTGAACATTTTGTCTGTGCCATGCAGGAAATCCAGCACTCCCAGCACTCCGTAGCACTGGTTGAACCTGAGAACCAAGCACAGATAAACATCACCAAAGTTGCCGAGGTTACTTTGCCCTTTCTGTCCATTCCTTTCTGAGCCCTGATAATCTGTCCATGGGATTT